ATATAGCCACAACTGGGACATCCGCAGCTGGCTGGTGCCTTTCCCCATGCTCCGAAATATGCCTTCGCTGCAAATCACTAAACCAGACGGATTGGAAAATATTGCTTAGATTAGCAAAATGAGCCCCCAGGTTGCGGAGCTTCCCTTTGTGATTCCCTCCTGATGTTTGGGGAGATGCTTTGCCCCTAAATTAGCCTTGACAAAGTCAGGAAAAAAGTAATTATTTTTTAAATGGAAAAAATAAAATTCAAAACTCCCCCACCAACCAAAGAAGAAAAGAACTCAACTGTTATTCAGATCAAAGTAATCCTAAATATGCCCTTCTGCAACAAAGCTTCACATCTCTCCTTGCTGGCTGGTTTTGATTGCCTCTGCGCAGAAATAAAAGGAAGTGCAAAGGCTTCGTTTGGATCTCCCAGGCTCCTATTATATTAGTGCCACTCGGCTGCCTTCAGTGAGTTTATTCTGAATTTACATCCCTCCGAGGAGCCAGAATCAGGCCCCTGATAGCTCTTCTCTCCAGAAGTACAAAATCAGGGGACTGAAATCTGTTCTTCATTGCATGAATGCAGACAAGGAGAAACTTCATGGAGAGATCGATCTGCTGCCTGATTGTGTTCACGTGGCTGTGACCAAGATCACGGATCTGCTGCAAGGTCTTTTTTGTTCACATCTGCTGGATTTTGAATGCTTTTGGATGCTTTTCTACCCAAATTGCTGAGTGCTTAGAGCAGAAAGTGAGGGAAATATTGAATCTGCAACCAAATGTGTCCCCTCCTCCCCAAATCCTCATTGCACGTTGCAATTGCAGCTCCTTTCCCCGTTGCCTATTGCACTTTTTTTCTGTGGCGTGCAGTCCAGCTGCTCCCCAAACCCTCTCAGCCTGCCCCTGCTGCATATTTAAATTAAATAATCAGGTCCCAAGCACCTCTGTGCAGCTTCCAGCTTGCCTAGAGGTCAGTTGCCACTCGTACAGCATGTTTCAGCTGTTCCCCCCCATCCTTATAATAAATCTTTTATAAATCTACGCCTCTCCCTGACTCCGAGGAGTGCATCAGTCATCTTTTAAAGCCAACTGCCTTTCATCCTGCCCTCAGAACTACATTAATATCTGAAAGTCCTAAAAAAAAAAAAAAAAAGCAGCTATTTATCAGCAGCTATGGGATCGGAGGGCCCTGTCAGCATGCTGCCGGGTGAAGGCAGCACTGCTGCCTGTTAGCGAGCGGCATCACATCACGTCCTGGCCCCTGCCTGCGTCCCGGCAGAGGGAGTTTGGGTGGTCTTAGCTAGGGAGATTTTGTCTAAGTCACTGGTAACTGAATTAAAGGGTAGTTTTCTTCTCCCCCCTCATCTTTATTTATCCTGTCCAGGTGTGTTTTGTGAACAAATAGATATGATTTAAACCACATAATTTATATATCACTTTGAATATAATGCAGGCTTAAGCAGCAATCAGCCTGATTGTAAGCAGTTGATGCGTGTCTGGACCTTGCGGAGAAAGCACTTGATGGGAATTAGGCTGGAAATGCTCGGGGTTTATTTCACAAATATCTTACATTTGGCTCAAATTAACTGAACTGCACTGTTCCACTGGTGGAAATCTGGAGTAATTCCTTTGACTTTACATTTCTGTGGATGAGCTTGGCCCCGTACAAAGCAGCCAGGCTGCAGCCCCTGCTGAGCCGGCCCCGGCCAAGCCCTGGTGCTCGCCCTTACTCTAACACGCTGAATACAGCGACATGATGGAAGATCACTTTTTGCCTTTGTTATCTGATTTAGCCCATGAACTGCAAGCTGCAACAATTAGCCAAACCCCAAAATATCTTTGGCATTAAAATTGGACAAAAGGAATATAAAGAAGCATTCTGTGCTGCTGACGCATTACCATTCACTACAAATCCCCATGATAAATACCAGAACTGCTTTGAATAATAGATACTTCTGGAAACCTTCCAGCTCGCGAAATGAACTGGACCAAGTCGCAGCTATTACTCCATGTCCAGAGGCTGGGGTAGCAATTGTTGTTCTCACTGCAACTTTGAGCAGACACCTGATTTTTATCCATTTATTTATCTTTGTTAAAACTATGGATAATTAAACTAACTGGGCTGCTCTAAGGGATAACAGAACCCCAAGGATGCATGCTCTATTAAATACAGTTTAGGGAGAAGGGAGCAGTTCTAACTCCTTGCCTGGAGTTGGAAAAGGGATGTGAAAACAGTCAAGACGTGGCCAAAACCTACTGGTGTGCCGTGGCGTGGTCTGTGTTTGCGTAGAAGGGGAGGGAAGGACAGATGGCTGAAGGAGAGGGGTAGAAAGATCTAGCTTTTTTTTTTGTTATTCAAACTTTTCTTGTTATTTTCACAAGGTGGTTTTCGTTTTCTGAAGGGTTCAGGTTGTCACCAAGTGCTTTCATTAAAACTGACACTACACTAGCTATTATCCATCGCTAATGAGACCCCTGGCTGAGTGCATATAGGAACAGAAAGCACTTCCTCCATTCCACTCAATTACCCTAACAAATCTCATTTTTACAGTCCAGAGTACCTCCAATTGCTAACAGTTTGGCTCCAAATGAATCCCCCCTCCCTGTTTCTAGGGTAAAATAAATAAAAGTGCCTCAGCCCCGGGGTCCGGGCACTCCTGGGGTGCGAGTTGCAATTTCTGTGCTGTGCTTTTCTGAACATCTGCAGAAGAAAGCTTCAAAAAGCCCGTGCAGCCACGTTCCCACGTGTGTGCACATCCAAGCCCAGGTGGTAGCGGGGAAATAAGGGTAACAAAAGAGCAAGGATTCATTTTTATGTGTCTGTAAATGCAAAGCACTGCACACACCAGTCTGTAGATTTATCTTCTGGTGCTTCAATTTGGAAGGGCTGGGAAAGCCCCAGCACGGTGGGCAAGATGTTTGCCTGATTCTGCTGTTTGTGCACAAGATGCTAGAACTGCAATGTCAATTGGATTAAAGACCCTGACCTCCCCTCGGAGACCTATGGATGAGAAGGTGACAAGACCTAATCCAGAAGCTGTTGCAGCTGGGATGAGGCTTCCCCTCGGCATCCAATTTCTCATGTCTTTAGTTGACCTGTTGGCCAAGGCTTTTACAATCTGCCCTCCTGGCCTTAAACAACCTTGCAGACGGTCTAAAACATAAGTATGTGTGGCTGAGGATGCGCTGTGGTTTCAAGTAGGAATTAATTTGCGGGAGTCAGATGGCCCATGTTCATGCAGAAGGTCAGGCTGGCCATGATGTTCCCTTCTGGTTTTATAATCTCCCATCTAATCCGTTCATGCTGAATGAGAGGCAGATGCTCGCCATTGCGTTCCTGGACCAAAACTCAGGTCCCAAACGATTTCTTTAGCTTTCTAGTGGTGCACAGACATAGGGCTTGGCCCAGCAAGCAGCAGGAAAAATGCTCTCTTTATAACCTCTGACAGGAGCATTATATATTCTTAAAAAAACCCCAAACGACAAAAACCCAACAAAAATACCCCCAAAACCTTAGAAGATTCAGGCAAGCATCTGATGGGTATCTGGAGGGACTGAGGCTGATCAGAGTGGGTTATCAGTCCTCTGGGTAAAGATTTTATTCGCTATGTTTGTCCTCTTGGCTAACTGTGCCAGATGCAGTTACCGTGCAGAGGAAGAAGCAAGACCAAACCCTGCGAGGTTGCAGGGCCAGCACAGCCCTCGCCTTCCCCTGCTCAGCGGGGTCTTTTCTGGGGAGATCATTTTATTTCAGCTTTACTGATCACTTGGAGATAGGTGTTCAGTGAAAAATTGCCCCAAGTCCTTCGCTTGGAAGTTTTAGGGGGTTATTGTTTTAACAGTTCTCTCTCTGTTTTCCTCCCGGTCTGCTGTACGTTTTCCTCCTAGAGCAAAAGGGACCGCATGAAGGCATGGGTACAGGCACGTCTCCCCACCTGCTGCAAAGAGAGAGACTCCTGGTCCATCTACATCTTCGCCCCTCACTCAAGGTAAGGCAGCTCTGCTCGAGCAGTGGCGGCGTGCTGGGCACGGCTGCCCTCGTTACGATGGCTTGCTCTGCCCATCTATCCCAGATGGGTCTCTATATGTCAGTACACAAAACTCCCAGCCCTTCCCCTGCTCCAGTACTACATTGGGGTCACACAGCAAATGGCCGCCGGCTGCAGAGAGCCGCTCCAGGACGGGCATGGCCCTGGCATAGGAGTGTCCAGTAGAGACCCATAGCCCAGAGCATGGCTACAGCTTTATCAAATTCATCGTTTGCTTCGTCAGTGATGCCAGTGCTCTGCAAGTTTTTCACTCGATGGAGCGTGGAGAGTTTGAAGCAAGGGAAAGGGTGCTGCATTAAGCAGATAAATCTGAATTTGCCCCCACTGCACACTTACAACATGGCAAAGGACACTCCTTGACCTCCTAAACCTGCCTGGACTTCTCTGTCCTCTCCCTTCCTCCCTCTCCCAACAACCCCCACAAAACACCCTCTCCTCGCCTGCAGACCCCAAGTTCTGCCCTTCCCAAAGCCCAGCTGCACCGGGGCCATCTGAGGTCCGTGCTCTCCTACATGTTCCTCTGGATGTGCACCCATGCTCAATGAGGGTTCCCCGTGTTTGAGCTGCTGGGTCCTGAACAGCGTTCGAGTTCATTCATACAAAGATTAGAGAGATTTTCAGAAACAGGCTTTGGGAAATGTAATATGGTATTATAAATCCTGGGTCAGTGTACAGCCATCTGTCACAATAAATAGCTTCTGTCCCTTTGTTCCATGTGCGCTCAACCCTTACAGGCTTGCTGGGAGTATTTCTTCCTTTATTTAAGCTAAACCTGAGCACTACGGACCAGGTAGGAGGTCAGATCCAAACCTGGCTGCATGTCCAAGCTGTGAAAGTAGCTGCTCTGTTTCAAATTACCCAAAGCCCCCGATGAACATTGCCAGGGCTTGAAATTTGTGGCCCAGTTCTGTAGCTCGGATTCTTTTCTATTCATACCCCGATCTGCCTGCAGCATGCGGCTCTGCCAGGGAGGGGATTGGGAGATTGCAGCTCATCTGCTTTGCAAACGGAGCGCTCGATTCCCCTGGCATGCGTCGAGCTGCTGCATTTCTCCCCAACCAGTCGAGCATTAATAGCTAGTCTGTGTCTCCTCTTTTTTTTTTTTCTTCCTTCTTTTTTGGCAGATTCCGTCTGATGTGCAATAAAATCATCACACACAAGATGTTTGATCATATCGTCTTGGTGATCATTTTCCTGAACTGCATTACCATTGCCATGGAACGACCCAAAATCGAGCCTCACAGTGCTGTGAGTTTCCGAGGTTAACGTTTTCCTGTGCTCCTCGTGGAGCCAACACCCGTGGCTTGGACCCCACTGCGTGCACTTGGTCTCACTTTCTTTCTCTTTTTTAAATGGGAAGCTGCCAACACACCCTGCGTATCCTTTGAATTAGGCACAGCAACTCTCCTGGTCCCTACCCAGCGTCCTTTCAAAGTACAAGAGCAGAGCTCATGGCCTGCAATATATCAAATATCCCATTTCTGCAAGTACGATCAAGGTTTTAACACATGACATAAGCATGACATCTGTCTCAGTTTCCTTCTCTGATATACCTTCAAACACTTTTCCTCTCTCAACCCAATGTTAGTTTCTTCCATCTGTTCTTCACGGGCACGTATGTGTGGTGTGAAGAGAATGGGGAAACTGTTCATTTCATATTCTTCTCTCCCCTTTGTGTATCAGCTTTGTTGTGACACAAGAAAAACTGAATTGATACATGCACGGTAATGCCATTTCCCCGAACCATTTTGTTTTAATAGACTACGTAAGGATTTCTCAAACCAGACCCTCACAGCACCAACATCCATCCATCAGAGGGGCAGAATCATCCTATTGCTCTTTTATTTTAGAACAGGTTATGGCTGAGAGATATGCTGGGCTCTTGCTGATGTATTGCAAAAGACTGCTCATATCGCAATCGTATAGAATCCTGTTTTATTGCTGTAGGCGTGTCAGGCTGTTCATTTTTGTGGATCTTCAATGTAAGACCTTAAAACCGGAGTCTTGGCTGCTCTGTGCCTATTTTAAGCTTCTAGTAGTCCTCCTTACTGTAATAGTTTGCCCAGTGGTCCCTCCCCTAAATCTTTTTTTTTTCTTTTGGTTATCATGCAGTCGTGGTGCACCAGCTCGCAGCTGCAAGAAGAGAGCAGGACTCCCTGCCGGCCGATCTAGCAGGCGGAAATCACCCTGCTGTTCCCCAAATGGGGCATCCTGAGATTGTCCCTTGAAATCCCAAATGCTTTTTGGAGCCCCTTGCTGTTTCCTCTGAGACTCACCATCCACCAAGGCTGGCTCCAAAAGGAACCATAGTTACACAGAGATGAAGGGAATGGGGTGACATGCATGAGTTGGAGGAGTCCACAGCAAAGAGCTGTAGCATGAAAAACCTCTACTTCGTATATGAGAGGAGGAGGATGAGCTGTGGTGTCCCCGGGCATTGGAAGAGTGCAAAGAGGAAAGGAGACAGGGACTGGTGCGAGGTTCATCAGCATCAGATTATAACCAAAGGAACTAAAATGGGTGACCCAGCGCTGGAGCTGAGCTGGACCTTGGTCTGGGAGCAGCAGGGAGGCGAAGGGGGATGCTGGGCGGTGGGGCAGGGAGCAGGGAGCCAGGAGGAGTGCGTGGGCCCTGCCTGCGCTGATGGAGCTCTCATCTGGAAACTGGGAGTTAGTTTAGCTTGAGTTGTTTAAAATAATTGTACTTTGCTTTCCCGAGCTGTGGATTTTCTAGCTGCTTCAAGCGAGTTCTTTTCCCTGTCCCAGTTTCAGCTGGCTTATCGGAACAGGGGATGCTGTTGCTAGCCAACACGCACTCCCCATTGCAGAGTGTGCGACATGGGCTGGGAAGATTATCCTTCAAAATAGCCACACGCTTGCCGGAGAGGAATGTAATATCCTCAGCCTCTCCTCCATGCTATTGCTGTTTTATCTCCAGCTCCACAAGCAGGTCCCTACCTTCTTTCTCCTGCACACTGCCTACACCTCTACAGCAGTCTTTTGTGTGGCAGTCAGCTAACGGCCGGAGATGTTTCCTATCACAGCTCACGCAATCACAGTGCAGGTCTAGGACCTAATTAATTATGGACCCAGTATGGAAACAAGCTACTCTGTGGTTCCTGAGTCACTTTCAGTAAATCATGATCTGGCAAGCGAGAGAGTTGCCAAGGTGTTTTGTCTTGTTTAAATTGCATCTCATTTTGAGTGAGAGATCTGCATCTCTTACAGGACTGCTCTGTAGGGAGCGGCAGAAATAAATCCAAAATTGTTGTTAGCAGAACTGGCACTGGTTCAATTGTATGCGCACATACATACATGCACACGCATCATCTTTCCTCCAGCCTCTGCCTTCTGCTGTCCATTTCTTAGTGCAGGCAATCAGAGATTGTTCAGGGATTAGGGAAAAGTGTGATTTATTTAATGATCATCATTAAAAAGAAAGGTTTCTGCTAACTACAGATAGGGAACCAGTCCATGGTCTCATCTGTAATCACTAGCTGCTATTGCAGAACAGTGGCAGTGAGGACTGCATGGTCTGGTGGATAGTGCAGGGGACTGCGAGATGAGGCTATTGGGCTTCACGCCCACGTCTAGCCTGTGGCTTTGGGGAAGTGAATCAACCTTTTGGGGGCAGGTCTCAGCTGGTGTAAAGCCCCAGAGCTTCGCTGGCTCTGGTGGAGCTGTGACAACTCATGCCAGCTGCACTTCGGTGTCCCATGGGTCCTGCTTGCCTTGTAGCACAGCCACTGTAATATTGACTTGATTTCTAGGAGAATTGGGAGCTCAGTGATATTTGCACTGTGCGGTGATGTCCGCAGGTGAAGGGCAGATAGAGATTTGTCAAGCATGCTCCAAGGCGGGGGAGATCTCCCTGTTTCTGCTGGGAGGGGAGGGGTTGGGGGCAGATGGGGGGGA